CTCTCTCTCTCTCTCTCTCTCTCTCCCATCTCCCTCTCCTTCTCCCTTTCCCTCTTCCTCTCCCTCTTTCTCTTACTCTCCCTCTCGCTCCATCCATCCCTTTCACTATTGCAATGGTCTCAGGTAGTATGTGAAGCACTGTATGTATTATTCCAAAGTATGTATTATACATTACATGTATACACAATGTTACATGTATACACAATGTTGTGTTTTGAATGGACAGTGGTCAAATTCTTTTAGTGTGTCTTCGTATTGTTCGTCTCCTTCCTCTATATACAATTGGATGATTGATGTGCCCAACACCCCGAACCAGCAAATAGAAACTATTTTCACAGTAGCTTTCTACGGTATTTTTAACCTAATTTCTTATTTTCTCATCCCTAGAATGGTTTGTTTTCTAATAATTTTCTGGCGAGAAACAAGGGTCATGTTTAACTATACAAGTTATTTTATTTTTACCACAGAAAATCCCGAAATAGTGGGTGTTGTTCTACTGAATCTGTCCAGTAGCTTGGACTGTATATGGACTGATTGTTTCCAAGTATGGCGAAATAAGACACGATATTATGAAAAAATCCGACGATAAAATGGTATATAACAGAAAATATTACGGATATGACCCAGATTTTATGGGCTCAATTGTTGCTATGTTAGTTGGCTTCACTGTCTTTTCTGTTTTGTTGTGTGCCTTCGACATCAAAATTTTAAACGTCCAACAGAGATAGTGCTTGAAAGTTAAACAGGTTGATCTTATTTTATGGATCTTAGATTTTATTTTTATTTAAAGATACAATGTGAGAAAAAGAAAAAAAATACATATGACAGAGACTCGCTTCATAATAATATAAATCACGCACAAACACACATACTGACACACACACACACACATATATATATATATATATATATATATATATATATATATATATATATATAAGGGAATAGAATTTGGATATTATTAGTTTAATTTTTTTTTTAATAATAACTAATCCAACCTGGAAAATTATTAGTAAGACATGACAAGTTTTTCCTGCCAGATCTACGCCAAAAAAAAACCTCTCGATAACATTGATATCATGTCTTTATTATTAAGGAGATTCTTCTTAGCGATGTATTGTGAAATTTAGCAATCAAATTTGCATATGCATTCATGCCTGAAATTATAACCTTTCTTGTGAGGTTCATCAATACATCTCTCACATTTTATTTGTTGATGACTTGGAACGGGTTTTCCTGTATGTGCTTNGATTGTAAAATTATTTAGATAAACAATGGATAATACAAAGGTACCTTTAACATGATTTAAAACAAGAAATGTGAGAACGCATGAAACCAATAACATAACACTGTCTCTCATGGCTGAAAATGAGGACAATTCGTAAAAAACAATAAATTTATTGTTTGTCTTACACTCCTCTGAAATACAATAGTCTTCTTTGCTAACAGTTCAGAATAAATACACTCAAAATAAGATAAAAATAGACATTGAAATTAATTCAGAAGAAACAAAAATAAACTTAAGGTGGATAGCAAAACAGACCAGCGAAACCCATGGGATCAATGTTTTTCCTTTGAAATAATCTTCCAAGAAAAATTAAGATTTATTTTTCTTTTATTTTACTAAGTTTGACATTTAAAATATCATATAAAATTCCTAAAGCACATGGCCTCACATTCTCACGTTTTGAACAAGAACAAAGAGCTAGAACACTTTAAATTCACAGCTTCACTCGTGACAGTGGACCATGATAATCTGCAATGTCACAAACAATAACTATTTGAGTGACTATTTGCGGATTTCTCTGTATGTGTTTTCCGGAAAGGGAAGGACTCATTGAACTTTGTCTTTGGTGACCACAGCTGATATTTCATGAATAGCGGAGGACGAACGCTGCGACACTCTACACCGACAAGAGAACATGACGCGAGAATATTTACTACCCACATACACAATCACACAAGAAAAAAATCGCTCTCTCTCATTCCCTCTCTCTCTCTCCCATCTCCCTCTCCTTCTCCTTTTCCCTCTTCCTCTCCCTCTTTCTCTTCCTCTCCCTCTCGCTCCATCCATCCCTTTCACTATTGCAATGGTCTCAGGTAGTATGTGAAGCACTGTATGTATTATTCCAAAGTATGTATTATACATTACATGTATACACAATGTTACATGTATACACAATGTTGTGTCTTGAATGGACAGTGGTCAAATTCTTTTAGTGTGTCTTCGTATTGTTCGTCTCCTTCCTCTATATACAATTGGATGATTGATGTGCCCAACACCCCGAACCAGCAAATAGAAACTGTTTTTACAGTAGCTTTCTACGGTATTTTTAACCTAATTTCTTATTTTCTCATCCCTAGAATGGTTAGTTTTCTAATAATTTTCTGGCGAGAAACAAGGGTCATGTTTAACTATACAAGTTATATGTAATGTAGCTTGGACTGTATGTTTAACTATACAAGTTATATGTTTAATAATTTATGTTAGTTTTCTAATAATTTTCTGTCCAGTAGCTTGGACTGTATATGGACTGATTGTTTCCCAGTATGGCGAAATAAAACACGATATTATGAAAAAATCCGACGATAAAATGGTATATAACAGAAAATATTACGGATATGACCCAGATTTTATGGGCTCAATTGTTGCTATGTTAGTTTGCTTCACTGTCTTTTCTGTTTTCTTGTGTTCCTTCGACATCAAAATTTTAAACTTCCAACAGAGATAGTGCTTGAAAGTTAAACAGGTTGATCTTATTTTATGGATCTTAGATTTTATTTTTATTTAAAGATACAATGTGAGAAAAAGAAAAAAAAGACATATGACAGAGACTCGCTTCATAATAATATAAATCACGCACAAACACACATACTGACACACACACACACACACACACACATATATATATATATATAAGGGAATTAGAATTTGGATATTATTAGTTTAATTTTTTTTTTTTTAATAATAACTAATCCAACCTGGAAAATTATTAGTAAGACATGACAAGTTTTTCCTGCCAGATCTACGCCAAAAAAAAAACCTCTCGATAACATTGATATCATGTCTTTATTATTAAGGAGATTCTTCTTAGCGATGTATTGTGAAATTTAGCAATCAAATTTGCATATGCATTCATGCCTGAAATTATAACCTTTCTTGTGAGGTTCATCAATACATCTCTCACATTTTATTTGTTGATGACTTGGAACGGGTTTTCCTGTANTTAGCAATCAAATTTGCATATGCATTCATGCCTGAAATTATAACCTTTCTTGTGAGGTTCATCAATACATCTCTCACATTTTATTTGTTGATGACTTGGAACGGGTTTTCCTGTATGTGCTTTAATCATTTCCCTTACGTCGTTTAGACATACAGCAACTCCATTTTTCCCGCATTTTCCACCAAACATGTTTTGTGTGCCGCAATAAAGTGGTGTCATTTTGGCTTCCACCTCTACTGCATTATATCAACCTCAAAAGATTACTAGATTGTAAAAATTATTTAGATAAACAATGGATAATACAAAGGTACCTTTAACATGATTTAAAACAAGAAATATAAGAACACATGAAACCAATAACATAACACTGTCTCTCATGGCTGAAAATGAGGACAATTCATAAAAAACAATAAATTTATTGTTTGTCTTACACTCCTCTGAAATACAATAGTCTTCTTTGCTAACAATTCAGAATAAATACACTCAAAATAAGAAAAAAATAGACATTGAAATTAATTCAGAAGAAATACAAATAAAGTTAAAGTGGATAGCAAAACAGACCAGCGAAACCGATGGGATCAATCTTTTTCCTTTGAAATAATCTTCCAAGAAAAATTAAGATTTATTTTTATTTTATTTTACTAAGTTTGACATTTAAAATATCATATAAAATTCGTAAAGCACATGTCCTCACATTCTCACATTTTTACAAGGTTGATGACATTTATAGTTTAAATTTAATTACTAGAGCATATGTTTTCACATTCTCACATATTTACTAAAGTTAATGTCACCTATATATATATATTAAATATAATTCTCACATACTCAAATCCTTTTATATCCAAAATCATGCTCACATTTTTCTTCCTAAGGCTCACTCCCCACCAACCATGTATTTTGTCTTTTCAAGAAGAAAGGTTCCTTAAAGGACTGTGAAAAAACCACAAAAATCCATAACAATCTGAGTTCCATCAATCTCAGTCATGTTCCACATAACATGACCATTGCCGTTATCTTTAATTTACCAAAAAAAAAACAGATAAATATTCCAAACAAAGAGATTTAATAATATTTAAATTAGTTTAGAGTTGAGAGAGGTTACGTTTTGAACAAGAACAAAGAGCTAGAACACTTTAAATTCACAGCTTCACTCGTGACAGTGGATCATGATAATCTGAAATGTCACAAACAATAATTATTTGAGTGACTATTGGCGGATTTCTCTGTATGTGTTTTCCGAAAAGGGAAGGACTAATTGAACTTTGTCTCTGGTGACCACAGCTGACATTTCATGAATAACGGAGGACGAACGCTCCGACACTCCACACCGACAAGAGAACATGAAGCGAGAATATTTATTACCCACATACACAATCACACAAGAAAAAAATCGCTCTCTCTCTCCCTCTCTCTCTCTCTCTCTCTCTCTCTCTCTCTCTCTCTCTCTCTCTCTCTCTCTCTCTCTCTCTCTCTCTCTCTCTCTCCCACATCTCCCTCTCCTTCTCCCTTTCCCTCTTCCTCTCCCTCTTTCTCTTCCTTTCCCTCTCCCTCCATCCATCCCTTTCACTATTGCAATGGTCTCAGGTAGTATGTGAAGCACTGTATGTATTATTCCAAAGTATGTATTATACATTACATGTATACACAATGTTGTGTTTTGAATGGACAGTGGTCAAATTCTTTTAGTGTTTCTTCGTATTGTTCGTCTCCTTCCTCTATATACAATTGGCTGATTGATGTGCCCAACACCCCAAACCAGCAAATAGCAACTGTTTTCACAGTAGCTTTCTACGGTATTTTTAATCTAATTTCTTATTTTCTCATCCTTAAAATGGTTAGTTTTCTAATAATTTTCTGGCGAGAAATAAGGGTCATGTTTAACTATACAAGTTATTTTATTTTTACCACAGAAAATCCCGAAATAGTGGGTGTTGTACTACTGAATCTGTCCAGTAGCTTGGACTGTATATGGATTGATTGTTTCCCAGTATGGCGACATAGAAGACACGATATTATGAAAAAATCCGACGATAAAATGGTATATAACAGAAAATATTACGGGTATGACCCAGATTTTATGGGCTCAATTGTTGCTATGTTAGTTGGCTTCACTGTCTTTTCTGTTTTCTTGTGTGCCTTCGACATCAAAATTTTAAACTTCTAACAGAGATAGTGCTTGAAAGTTAAACAGGTTGATCTTATTTTATGGATCTTAGATTTTATTTTTAGTTAAAGATACGATGTGAGAAAAAGAAAAAAAAAGTCATATGACAGAGACTCGCTTCATAATAATGTAAATCACACACAGACACACATACTGACATATATATATAAGGGAATCAGAATTTGGATATTAATACTTTAATTTTTTTTTTAATAATAACTAATCCAACCTGGAAAATTATTAGTAAGACATGACAAGTTTTTCCTGCCAGATCTACGCCAAAAAAAAAATTCTCGATAAGATTGATATCATGTCTTTATTATTAAGGAGATTCTTCTTAGAGATGTATAGTGAAATTTAGCAATCAAATTTTCATATGCATTCATGCCTGAAATTATAACCTTTCTTGTGAGGTTCATCAATACATCTCTCACATTTTATTTGTTGATGACTTGGAACGGGTTTTCCTGTATGTGCTTTAATCATTTCCCTTACGTCGTTTAGACATACAGCAACTCCATTTTTCCCGCATTTTCCACCAAACATGTTTTGTGTGTCGCAATAAAGTGGTGTTAATTTGGCTTCCACCTCTACTGCATTATATCAACCTCAAAAGATTACTAGATTGTTAAATTATTTAGATAAACAATGGATAATACAAAGGTACCTTTAACATGATTTAAAACAAGAAATGTGAGAACGCATGAAACCACTAACATAACACTGTCTCTCATGGCTGAAAATGAGGACAATTCGTAAAAAACAATAAATTTNAATTTGGCTTCCACCTCTACTGCATTATATCAACCTCAAAAGATTACTAGATTGTTAAATTATTTAGATAAACAATGGATAATACAAAGGTACCTTTAACATGATTTAAAACAAGAAATGTGAGAACGCATGAAACCACTAACATAACACTGTCTCTCATGGCTGAAAATGAGGACAATTCGTAAAAAACAATAAATTTATTGTTTGTCTTACACTCCTCTGAAATACAATAAGATAAAAAATCGCTCTCTCTCATTCCCTCTCTCTCTCTCTCTCTCTCTCTCTCTCTCTCCCCCATCTCCCTCTCCTTCTCCCTTTCCCTCTTCCTCTCCCTCTTTCTCTTCCTCTTCCTCTCCCTCCAACCATCCCTTTCACTATTGCAATGGTCTCAGGTAGTATGTGAAGCACTGTATGTATTATTCCAAAGTATGTATTATACATTACATGTATACACAATCTTACATGTATACACAATGTTGTGTTTTGAATGGACAGTGGTCAAATTCTTTTAGCGTTTCTTCGTAATGTTCGTCTCCTTCCTCTATATACAATGGGACGATTGATGTGCCCAACACCCCGAACCAGAAAATAGCAACTGTTTTCACAGTAGCTTTCTACGGTATTTTTAACCTAATTTCTGATTTTCTCATCCCTAGAATGGTTAGTTTTCTAATAATTTTCTGGCGAGAAACAAGGGTCATGTTTAACTATACAAGTTATTTTATTTTTACCACAGAAAATCCCGAAATAGTGGGTGTTGTACTACTGAATATGTCCAGTAGCTTGGACTGTATATGGATTGATTGTTTCCCAGTATGGCGACATATATGACACGATATGATGAAAAAATCCGACGATAAAATGGTCTATAAGAGAAAATATTACGGGTATGACTAAGATTTTATGGGCTCAATTGTTGCTATGTTAGTGGGCTTCACTGTCTTTTCGGTTTTCTTGTGTGCCTTCGACATCAAAATTTTAAACTTCCAACAGAGATAGTGCTTGAAAGTTAAACAGGTTGATCTTATTTTATGGATCTTAGATTTTTTTTTTATTTAAAGATACGATGTGAGAAAAAGAAAAAAAGACATATGACAGAGACTCGCTTCATAATAATATAAATCACGCACAGACACACATACTGACATATATATATATATATATATATAACGGAATTAGAATTTTGATTTTTTTAGTTTATTTTCTTTTGAATAATAACTAATCCAACCTGGAAAAGTATTAGTAAGACATGACCAGTTTTTCCTGCCAGATCTACGCCAAAAAAAACTGTCGATAACATTGATATCATGTCTTTATTATTAAGGAGATTCTTCTTAGAGAGGTATTGTTAAATTTAGCAATAAAATTTGCATGAGCATTCATGCCTAAAATTATAACCTTTCTTGTCAGGTTCATCAATACATTTGTCACATTTTATTTGTTGATGACTTGGAACGGTTTTTCCTGTATGTACTTTAATCATTCTCTTATGTCGTTTAGACATACAGCAATTCCATTTTTTCCGCATTTTCCACCAAACATATTTTGTGTGTCTCAAAAAAGTGGTGTCAATTTGGCCTCCACCTCTACTGCAATATATCAACCTCAAAAGATTACTACATTGTAAAATTATTTACATAAACAATGGATAATACAAAGGTACCTTTAACATGACTTAAAACAAGAAATGTGAGAACACATGAAACCAATAACATAACACTGTGTCTCATGGCTGAAAATGAGGACAATTCGTAAAAACTAAACATTTATTGTTTGTCTTACACTCCTCTGAAATACAATAGTCTTCTTTGCAAACAATTCAGAATAAATACACTCAAAATAAGATAAAAATCGATATTGAAATTAATTCAGAAGAAATACAAATAAAGTTAAGGTGGACAACAAAACAGACCAGCGAAACCGATGGGATCAATGTTTTTCCTTTGAAATAATCTTCCAAGAATAATTAAGATTTATTTTTCTTTTATTTTACTAAGTTTGACATTTAAAATATCATATAAAATTCCTAAAGAACATGTCCTAACATTCTCACACTTTTACTAAGGTTGATGACATTTATAGTTTAAATTTAATTACTAGAGCATATGTTCTCACATTCTCACATATTTACTAAAGTTGATGTTACATATATTATTAAATATAATTCTCACATACTCAAATCCTTTTATATCCAAAATCATGCTTACATTTTTCTCCCTAAGGCTCACTCACCACAACCATGTATTTTGTCTTTTCAAGAAGAAAAGTTCCTTAAAGG